GGCTCTCCCTGATGGGGCACTCCTCCACGGGGTGAGCCTGCAAGTCGCGGATTACCACGGCTGTGCACGAAGGCGCTGTGAAGATGCCGACCTCGCTCTGCACGTGGTCAGTCGCCGCCAAGGTAGCGGGTGACCCGCGAGGGCCGTGAGTGGTCGACTCCACCGCCACCCATTGAACCCCAGCGGCGCCCGCGGACACGCCGCCCGCAAGGGGGGCAGCGGGAGCCAGGGCACCAGCTGCTGGATCCAGGCTGCCCTCAGGCATCTCCGCGGGCGGCTGTGCCCGAGGGGTCAAGACGCCTCCGGGCGGAGCCACCGTCGGCAAGCCCGCCGCCGCCGCCTGCTGGATGTGCAGGTCCTCTGCCGCCTGACGAGTCTGGCTGATGGACTCCGCGAGCTCCGCTGCAACGGGCGGGCGTCGAAACCTGCATGTCTCGGCCGGCGCAACCCCGGGAGGGATGGTCCGTCGATCTGAAGCGAAAAGTACCGCCTGGTAGTCGTGGCTCGTCCTATCACGTTGCTCGAAGTATACGTCAGCATCGGGCGTCACGAACCCCACCAGCAGCTCGTTGACTGGAGTCACCTCCTGCGGTCGCAAGTGGTCCCAGACTCGCCGGTGCTGCCAGCCTCGATCCCCGTGGCGCAGGATCCAAGCCCAGGGCTGTGGGAGGCTGCCAGAGAAGTTGATCCACAACAGCCAGCCGTAGCGACGAGCCCGCCACCGCGAGCGAAGAGAGAAGGCCTAGCACCACGTCCCAGAAGCGGCTCGAGGGCGGTATCACGTCGGGCGCTGGGCAGACTGGAGGCTCAGGGCAGGCCGCCTGCGTCGGCGTCGGGGGCCCAGGGCGCGCTGGACAGCTCGGTACCGAGGGGCAAGTCAGCTGGCACGTGTATGGCGGACTCTCGGGGTAGGCAAGAGCTGAGAGGCAGCGACTGAGGTTGGGATGACGCCCGCTCTCAGCCAAACGGTCACGCGGTTCAGCGTTGAACCGGGCTCTCGCTTGAGCCAACAAGGTCACGGATACAACACTCAGACGTGAGGCAAGCCAGCGACCTTCACGGCGGCCCAACCCCGAGACAGAAGCTAACAAAGACGTGTTGAACACTAGGCATAATAATAATAACAATACTAATAATTAATATTAATAATAATGATAATGATAATAATACTAATGATTATTATTTTTATAATAATAAAATAATAATACTACTAATAATAACAATAATATTAGTCATAATCATAATCATAATCATAATCATATCATAATCATAATAATAATAATGATAATACTAATAATAATAATACAAATACTATTAGCAATAATAATACTACTCATGTTACAAATAATACGAATAATAATAATGGTACTAATAATAATGATGATGATGATGATGATAATAATACTAATGAGCATCATCATCATCGTCATCATCATCATCCTAATAGTAATGATGATAATAACTATGATAATAATACTAATAATCTTGATAACAATAATAATAATAAACAAATAAATTAATACATAAAGACATAAATACATGAGTGAATACATAAATACATTCATACATAAATAATAAGACTGATAATGATGAAAATAACAATGATAATAAAAAAGATAACAATAATAATTCTACGAAAGATAAAAATAGATAAAACATAGTAATACTAAAAACAAGAAGAAGAAACAATATAGTCATAATAAGGGTTCGGAGTGAAAGGGGGCCCCCTGGAAAATGAAAGCGGGCGTGAACGAGTGAAACCTCTGCTATCCTCCTCCTCCTCCTCCTCATTCTGTTCCACCGTTTCCTTCTCCTCCTCTTCCACCTCTCCCTTCTCCTCCCCCTCCTCCTCCTCCTCCTCCTCCTCCTCTTCCTCCTCCTCTTCATTTCCCCTCCCTCCCCATCCGCCTTCATCCCCCCTTTCCCCTCCTCCATCCTCCCACAGCGGCAAGGAAAAACAAAAGAAAACCCAAGGAAATAACACGTGTGTTGCAGAAGAAAACAAAACTACAAAGGAAAACAAACAAAAAAAAGGCTTGGAATTGAACATTAAGCAAAAACCTAAGGACACCCCCCCAACAAAAAAAAACAAAAAATCTGGCACCCTTCTCGGTGGAGCGTAGGGGTGGGAAGGGTAGGTCTGTGAATAATTGGTTGTTTTGTTTTTTTTGGTTTTCCTTCGGTTTTTCTATGTGTTTCGGCTTCAGCCCTTTGGTTTCTTTGTTTTTTGTTTTTGTTCCTTTGGTTTTCTTTGGTTTTCCTTGCCGTTGTGGAAGGAAGAGGAGGAAGAGGAGGAGGAGGAGGAGGAGGAGGAGGAGGAGGAGGAGGAGGAGGGAGGGAGGAGGAGGAGGAGGGAGGAGGAGGAGGAGGAGGAGGGGGAAGAGGAGGAGGAGGAGGAGGAGCGGAGGAGGAGGAGGAGGAGGAAGAGGAGGAGAAGAGGAAGCAGAGGAGAGGAGGAGGCAGGAGGAGGAGGAGGAGGAGGAGGAGGAGGAGGAGGAGGAGGAGGAGGAGGAGGAGAAGGAGGAGGAGGAGGAGGAGGAGGGGGGAGAGGAGGGGTCCACAACGCGATGCCTTGAATGGGGGCATCCACATTCAAGGCATCGCATTGTGCTCCTGCTTTTTGATTCCTCCATGCCTTGAGTGGGGGCATCCACAAATGCGATGCCCCTTCGGCCATATGTGGAACAGTTCAGCCCAGCCCAGCCCAGCAGTCTTGCACGCCGGCGCGCGTGGAGGGGTACCCAGGACAGGTTCCGAACATACGAAAACAAGGGAACCCAACAAATGGGTCCCCACCCCCGCGCCCGAAAACACTGCCATTCGCCTGCACGCGATTGACCATATACTGCTGTTGTTGGGTTTGGCAACGCACAGCTTGCGATTGCGATTCGGCGTGGACTCATGTAAGCGTATAAATCGTCCGCGCGGAAGAAAAACGGAAGGGGGGAAGGGATGATGTAGTCTGCAAAAACAAACCAGAAGCACGGTCGAAGTGCAGCGTGCCTGTTCGAGCGTGTTGTGACGTCGTCGTCGTGGTCGTCGCAGCCGACGCCGTCGTCGTCGTCCTCCTTCTCCTCCTCCTCCTCCTCCTCCGCTTCCTCCTCCTCCTCCTCCTCCTCCTCCTCCTCCTCCTCCTCCTCCTCCTCCTCCTCCTCCTACTCTCAATCAGATTCACCTATCGGGGGCGGAATCAAGCAAAACCCTAGACAAAAAGAAAAAAAAACAATCCTGGGGGACTCCTCCCCCGTCCCCCCCTCCTCCTCCTCCTCCCCTCTCAGCAAGTTCCTCTGGATTGCTTTTATTGTTTTTTTGTTTTTTCTTCAGGTGTTGCTTGATTCTGCTCCGTAAGAGGATTCTGATCGGGATGAAAAGAGCCTCCCCCCAGCAAGTTCCTCTGGATTGCTTTTAGTGTTTGTTCTTTTTTTTCCTTAAGGTGTTGCTTGATTCTGTTCCGTAAGAGTACTCAGATTGGGATGAGAGGAGGAGGAGGAGGAGGAGGAGGAGGAGGAGGAGGAGGAGGAGGAGGAGGAGGAGGAGGAGGAGGAGGAGGAGGAGGGGGAGGAGGAGGACGAATGCGAAGAGGAGGAGGAAGAGGGAGGAGGAGGAAGAGGAGGAGGAGGAGGAGGATGGATGAGGTTTGAATGGTTTACGCCCGCTGCCATTTTGCAGGGGGGCCCCTTTCACCCCCGAACCAATAATAAGAATAAGAATAATAATAAGAATAATAAGAAGAAAAAGAATAAGACTAATAATAATAATAAGAGTAAGAATAAGAATGATAATACTAATAATAAGAGTAAGACTGATAATAATAATAATAATAAAATGAATAGTAATAATAATAGAAATAAGAACAAAAACGAAAATAATAATTATATTACGAAAGGGAATAAGACTAAGAATAAGAATGAGAGTGATAATAAGAATACGAATAATAATAAGGATAATAATTAATAATAAGAATAATAGTAATAAGAATAAGAATAATAATACGAATAATGACAATAATAAGAATACGAATACAAATAATAATAATAAGAAGAACAATAACATGAACAATAATAACAAGAATATTAATAAGAATAATAATAATCATAATAATACAATAATAAGGATAATAATACTAATAAGAATAATAATTATAATAATAAGAATAAGAATAAGAATAATGATAATAATAATGATAAGAATAATAATAAACATAATAACAAGAATAATAATAATAATAAGATCAAGAACAAAAATAATAATAGGTATAAGAATAAGAATAAGAATAATAACAAGATTACGAATAAGAACAATAATAACAACATGAATACTAATAACAATAATAATGATAATGCCAATAATAATAAATAAAAATACCAATAAGAACAATAATAAATCGTAACACTAAGAATAATAATAATAATCATCATCATAATCATAATCATAATCATAATAATAATAATAATTATAATAATGATAATGATACTGATAACAAAAGAAAAAATTATAGGAATCATAAAAAATTGTTATCATGCCAATACTAATAGTGATAATACTGAGAGTACTAAGAATAAAAATAATAATCATACTCATAATCATAATAAGCATAATCATAATCATAATCATAATAATAAAAAGAAAAATAAGACGAATAATAATAATAATAAGAATAAGAATAAGAAAAATAATAATAAGAATAATGAAACTAAAAATAATAATACTAATAATACTAAGAATACTAATACTAATAATAATAACAACCATAATAATAATAATAATAATAATAATAATAATAATAATAATAATAATAATAATAATAATAATAATAATGATAATGATACTAATAATACTAATAATAATAATACAAATAATAATAATATAAAGTGGCCAACGCCACCACCAGCGCCGAGGGCGGGGCAGCCACTGCCTCCGCCAGCGCCAATGGCGAGGCAGCACGTTCCAGAGCTTCCGGAGACGCAGCGCCATCCGGACGCGAAGGCGGGCCTACACGAGGCAGAACACGCTGACCCTCTCGAACGTCATGTGCGGGTGGCGGCCGCAGACAGAGCGGCGGCAGCCCGGGAGCATCATGTGCAGGTGGTGGCGGCAGCAACGGTAGCTGCGGCAGCGGGCACGAAGCGCTCGCCGAGGAACGCGGCGGGGCGCAGGTTGCTTCTGGGTACAGCAGGGCAGGGGGCGCCAGGGGCCACGCCAGCGGCCGCAGCGATCAGGTCCACAATCGGCGGCATGTCCTCGATCTGGACGTCCGGTTGAACTTCAGGCTGAGCGCGAGGACGAGCTTGGGCATCGGCAGCAGCGACTGCGCGAGCGAGGCTAGCCACCACGTCGCGCATGCAAGGTCGGCGGCCGACTCGGGCCGCGAAGCCGAGCCTGCGCATGGCAGCGCGCAGGGGCGGTCTCGGCCAGTCGCCGTGGCGCTGGCCGGAAACATCTCGCGGCGCGCGGCTGTCCCGGGAGAAGGGGGCGGTCGGGACGGCGCGTATGGGCCCCTAGCCCCCCCGTGGGAAGTCTCCACCTGGGCCGGAACTTGGAGCCAAAATTGCTACGGAGGAGAGAAGGGAGGAGGGAGGGGGGAGAGGGAGGAGGAGCAGGAAGATAAGAGCGTGAATGTTCGAGGACGTCCTAGGCGAAAGCGCCGTTCCTGAAGGAAGTCTCGGGCGGGAGCCCACGACGGGCGGGCGATCCCCTGACG